GTTCCAATTCTCAAGAACGCCAGATCGAGAACGCATCAAATCCCCGGATGTTCTTCTTGCCCCGCCCTCTTTATCGAGCATGCATCAGAGCAGACTTGTGCGTTCTTCAGACTGACTGCTTCCCCAGAATGCCCCGCGGCCGCAGCTTGATTGGAGACAGCGCTCACAGTGTTAAGTTAAACATTCCCTTTTCTGCTGCTGTTGTTCTTCAAAAGTACGTTTTGAAATCGTTTGAGGCGATAACATTATACATTTAAGCCTCCCTGTGTGGTCTGTTTACAGAGTTAGTGCGAAATTAAAAAAAAAAAGTCCGACGTTGAGCGGACCAGAGTGACCAGCAGACCTCCGAGGGTAACCGCAGCCAGGGCTAAATTTACCCCATCTGTAGTGCACTTCTCTCGGTCTAGTTATGTGTGAACTACCGCTCGTTCTGATGGCGGTTTTCTGCAGTTCGGTAATTTTTTAAATGTTTTTTAGGCTTCAGAAATTAAAAATATTGTTTTCAAAATGTTTTGTGTAGGGAATAAATAGTTTTGACTGTTAAAGAAATGCTAAACAACGTTGCCTGTGATGACGTCACGAGTACACTTCTGCTCCAATACACATACGTCCTTGCGTGCTCGCGTTCTCGTCAAGTCCGATCTTCCTGCGTACTCTCGTTCTCGTGAATTGAGAAACGCCCCTAGACTTCTAAACAATAAAAAAAATAAAATAAAATTTACTGAAAAACTATGTGGGGTGGGGGTTCATTAATGACTCCTAACTGTTTTTAGGATTCACAATTTACCCATTGTGGGACAGTAAAGGGATTTTCTAATTCTACACTATTCTATTCAATACACCCTTTTATAAAGTAGCTGGGGGAAAAAATAATTTCTCCTCTTACTTTTATTTCCTACCAAAATACAAACCATTTCATACTAATGTCATTATTGGTTTATTATTATCAGCAGCAGATAAATGAAAAGATAGACATGAGAATATTTCAAATCAATCCAGTATATTTACTGTATATAGCATCAATTTACAACACACATCATTTCAAGGCACTTTACAGAAACAATTTAGCCAGATCATATAGTCAGATTGGTTCAAAGTTCTCTATCTAGGAAAAACCAGTTGTTTGCATCGACTCTTTGACTTGATAGTAATCCCTCACACAAAACATGTTTTTAGCGACAGTGGAGAGGAAAGTCCTTTTTAACAGGAATAAACATCCTGCAGAACCAGGCTCAATGTGAGCGGGAATCTGCCCAGTCCGACGGGGGTTCAACAAGACAGAAGCAGACATAGAGAAAGAAGCAAAGATACAAAAGGTAACTGTCAACCAGTTCCACAGGTGGCCCCATTCAGGAAACACCCAGCCAGGCAGACAAGCTCCGAGCAAGCTCCCATCTCAGAGGATGAAAGAGAGCAGATACAGCTACAGGAAAAGGCTAGATGAAGCTTCTATGATAAGAAAATGCAGAAAGAGCATAAAGTTAGAGCTTGAACTAACATATAATGGGAGAATAGAGTTAGAATGAAGCAGAATTGTGAAAAGGGGTCCCTATTTTGTTAAGCAATCTCAGCCTATAGCAGCATAACTGTAGTGATAGTTCAGAATAACCTGAGCCACTCCAACTGTAAACTTTATCAAAAAGGAAAGTTTTAAACGTTTTAGTCTTAAAAGTAGACACAGTGTCTGTCTCACGGGCTAAAACTGGTAGTTGGTTCCACAGGAGAGGAGCCTGATAACTAAACTAAATCTGCTTTCCATTCTACTTTTAGAAATTCTAGGAACCACAAGTAAACTTGCAGATTGAGGCAAAGTGCTCTGTAAGGAACACAAGGAACAATCATATATTTGATATAAAATGGAGCTTGGTTATTTGAGGCTTTATCTGTGAGTGATTAGAGTGATATATTTAGTGATACATAGAACTAAGTGGGAGAAGATGAATGATATTTAATCTATTACCATTTTGTTGGACTGTGGTTCTGATCACTAAACAGACAAAATGATTTGAATATGAAAATAGCCTAAGCACCTTTCTATTAATAGAAGATGTGTATCAATCACGTGACCTCATTTTCTTTCTTTTCTTGATTAAGAGTCCATTTGTCAGCTATTGTCATTTGGAACATCGTTAACTTGGAATCTGACTTTATGATTTGATTTGAACTGATCTTTTATTTTAAAGTTACTTGAGAAGACGTATTGTGCACTGGCACTATATGAATTGCATTGTCTTTACCACATATCCAAAGCCTGTTATTATTTTATGGCCACGACTTTTCACTTTCATTGTCCAAAACATGTTGGTGCAATCTCAGCCCTGCTTTCTTGAAAAACATTCAATCTCCATCTGAAATATCAGCTATAGAAAATGTCTTCCCTTCCAGACGACTGTAAGACAGACCTTATTCAAACTTGGTTAATGGAAGCATAATAGAGCAATAAATCCTTTCAAAAAGAGAATGAAAAGGGGATTGTTTGGTTAATCTTATCAGTAAGAATGTTCCTTTGAACCAAACATAATGAACAAAACTTTAGAGATATTTGTCTCCAGTGTTTGAAGTTTTATGACCAAATATTTCTATGGAAACTCGCAATTCAACTCCCCAGGCTGTCAGCATCAGAGGTTTCCTTTATGATTGGTGTCGGTCCAACCTTCTCATGGTAGATGCAGGAAAAACAAAGGAGCTGGTAGTAGAGTTTTGCAGGTGCAGACCTAATTCACTGACACTTGAGAGAACATCTTGGAGTTGGATGTAAAGAGAATGGACTTTTTAAGTTTCTGGCTATTACCTTAAAAAAACTGGACGTAAGAACGTTGATGGCATTTAGAGGAAGGGTCAGAGAAGACTCTACCCACTAATTTATACTCAGAAACCAGGTTGTCTGCATGCGTGTCACAGTGAAAGCAAATGTGCCCTTGCCCCAGCAGACACTCTGCTGCACCTCTCCAAAATTGTAGGTGACTACCAAACAGTTATAGTAATGTTAAAGATGATAAATACAGAATTCAGGCTCAGAAATGGAACCTAGGCGGAATTTCAACTGAAGCAACTGATTGCTCTCCTATATCCACCTGCAACACAGTCAATCAGCTTTGATCCACATCTCCCCGAAATCCAATCAACATCCAAAGTTGATCTTAAAAAGCCTCGGATCTACAACTTGTCTGTGCAGAGGCGGTGGTTGCGCTATGTGACTTCATTCAGATGACAATGTTTCAACCCACCTTCACGCACTCCTCCACCATCGTAGATAAAGCTTCATCCGAGTGTCATTCCTCCCGGACTCTTATTGCATTTCCTATCTCGTCTCAACCGGTCCGACAGAAGACGGCCATGTTGAGCCTGGTTCTGCCAGAGGTTTCTTACCAACTGGGAGTTTTTCCTCTCCACTGTCGCTTCATACTTCCTCATCATGGACATGTTCTCTCAACCTGTGTAATTCAAACTGGACTTCCATCTTAAGGTCCCTGAGTGAAGCTCTAGTTTCAGCTCATGCAATCCACTGGATCTCCCCATAAAGTTTAGCATACTGTCTCGCTAACCAGCAGTCTACAGACTGACCAACTTCGTCTATCTCCACAACAGCCCTGGGAAACAACCCTACTTTGCTCCTGTTCATACATATCTGTCAAAATAAGTGCTATGTTTCCTGCTGAGGTCTGAGCGCCAAAGACAAAGTAATTGTATCAATACATTTCTCCTAATTCTCTTTTCTCTTCGTGTAAGTTTTTCAAATTGAACTAGTTTTCGTGTTTTGCTGCGATGAATTACAAATAGGTTGTCTCTGCAGTCATCATGGAGTCCTCTAAATATTTAGATATAAATGACAACTACTCATCACACTTAATGTAAATATTATGCAGAACCATACAATTTTAATTTAGTGGGCTTAGATGTATACATTGGAGTTTAGATTTATAAGCAAGGGCAGTGTCAAAATTAGTTTTTTCTTAAAATTAGTTTTTTCATCACATTTGCCCATGGGTACCATGTGATTAGTGTAGATTTATTGTTCAATAACCCATAGAAATGTTCTGGCTCTACAAATGATGAAAGGGCATTCGGTCTACAAGACATATTGTTACTATCAGACTGATTAGTTCGAATTTGGCCTTTCGTAAACAGAACAGTCAAAGTCTGTATTTTTATGTAGACTACAGACATCGCCACAGAAAAATTCAGTGAAAACCTCAAACACAATATAAAAAAAATAATAATTGCAACACTATGAATTTTAGAAGTTGCTACAGATTGGACAGCGACCTGGTAACACATATTTTGGTGTTTCTAATGTTGGATTTAATCTAAAGGGGTTGATATGGCCTTGTTTTTACCAGGAACTCGATAACTTCTTTATCTGCTGGTACAAATCTCAGAGGAAGACTTTTATTTTGCAACAGTGTAGAGTCAACAGTGGTCAGCAAAGGCACTCAACTACACAAGTTGTGCACCCCTTAAAGTGAAGTTACACAGTGCTACTTTAATCTTTAATATCTAAGATAAAGTGAAGTGACTGATGGGATTGCCAAGATACCTAATAGATAATAATATATCATGAGCTCAAAAACCAATTATAAACATCTTGTTTTCAATGCAGAATGTGGCAGTGTGAGTAGGCTAAAACATGTTAGATCTGCTAGCTAAAATAGAAGTGGGCCCCTAATTCTTCGAAGGGCCCGTAGACGATGAGGTTCCATATGTGCAAAAAATGTGTTCAACTGTGCTGTGTCCATGTGTCTAATGCAATGTGAGCTCTAATCCCAGTTACTGTATTTGACTTTTAAAACAAGATTATAAAGTGTACATATAATTTTCAAAGATTTACTCTGGGTTCATTGTTCATTGTAGAGTTAAAGCATGAAGCTCTATATTTTGACAAAACTGAAGGCCTGTTTTTTTTTTTGCTTTTTTCATTACACAGTTGAACAGTAGCTGCTGTTCTCACTGTGAGCTTGTTGTGTCTGCTCTGCTCCCCGCCGCGCAACTTTCCCTGCGGGGCGGGGTGGCGCACAGTCCGGCGCACAGCGCACCGAAGCCACCTACCCTGCGCGCACCGTCCTTCCTCCTCTGCTCCGACAAACATGGGTGTCGAGAAGGAAAAGCTGGAGACCAGCATAATAATGGACGAAGATGAGTTTAACAGATCCATAGAGCCTATTCTGTCGAAAAAGGGTGAGGTGTATCCAACAGCGCCGGACAGGGATCCAAATGAGATCAACAGGCATCTGAAGGTAAAAGGCTGTCGACGGTGACGGTTCTTTTAAAGTCAAAACTTCACAGCCTTAGTTTAGTAGTAAAATCATTGTTCATATTGTTACTTCATTGTCAATTGGTCATTGTGATTATTTTCTTATTTATGAGGCTTAGTGTAAGGCGAGTAATCAGTCCAATGAATACCTGGAAGTGAGTGCCTGCGCGTTCATCCTTCATCACTAAACTGTTTCCTGCCTGGAGTTGTTAGTCGCTCATTTTTAAATGTTAATCGTTTGGCCCTTTGACTTTTGTTACAGCAGTATTGGACAGATATTAAGCAATTAATTTCGAAATATATATATATATATATATATATATATATATATACACTATATTGCCAAAAGTATTTGCTCACCTGCCTTGACTCACATATGAGCTTAAGTGACATCCCGTTCCTAATCCATAGGGTTCAATATGACGTCGGTCCA